GGTTTAGTTTTGAGGGGCGGCTAGAGAAGACTAAGTCTGGGGCAAAACGAGATTGGTTTGGTTCGGTGGTTGGGCTACATTGCCTAGGAAAAGTTCAGGTTTGGTCCAAAGCTGGAGGAAAGTTTGGTCTAAGGCTGTGACTAAAAGAAGATTATTGGTGCGAAATGAGCCCGATATTTGGTCTTGAGCTAGCTGAAGGCTAAGTTTGATCCAGAAATGTGATTAGAGTGAAGCTTAAGTTTGTATGGATGACGATGAAGATTAGCTTTGGTACATATGGGGTGTAATGATGTAATGATGATGGCTCACACACACACACACACACACACACACACACACACACACACACACACCCACACACACACACACACACACACACACACACACTTTGTACTATTAGTGTGTGCAGCCCTGATGAACTCATTTGTCTTTGCTGTGAGGCAGGCCATGTACAGATAGACGGATGGAGAGTTTCTTTAAAAAGAACTGGAGGAATATACATAACACACTATCAGCGATGACAGGTCTGAGCACACATGATTATTAGCAGACTAAAGTTGGAGCACCGTGGTGAGCGGGGGATCAGTTTGAGGCCGACCGTGACATTTAGTATGGACATGGTGTCCTGACTCAACACCTAATGGGAGTGAGTGTGTGTGTGTGGAGGAGTGTGTGAGACAGAAATATGCATGTGCTTGGCCTTTGGACAGCTGTGTGTCCTGTGTGTTTCGATATAAGGTTGAACATGCCCCGAAAGTAAGACTTCTGGTCCGTTAAAAAAACAATAATAAGCGACGAGAAGGTGGGGGTTACAGTGGGAAAGCATGAAAACGGAAAAACTATGACTATGTCCTCCTGTGGACAGGCTTTAAGGATTCAAAGAAAACTGAACCCTCTGTAGAATAGTTATTATAAAAAAGGGACTAGTTACTAAATACACATGTGGGAATCTTAACTAATTTAAGGTGGTTTTCGTCCTTGCAAAGTTGCACATAACTTAAAGGGGACCTATCATGCAAAATGCACTTTTGTACGTCTTTTATACATGAATATGTGTCCCCCGTGTGTCAGAGAACTCACCACTCGCAGTGTCAGAAAACACCAACCCTCTCTCTTTTCCTCCTTACACCAACTCTCTAAAAACGGGGCTGCCGACGGATCTGATACTGAATTTGAAAATAATCTCTTGACTCAGACAGAAATGGGGGAGCTCCGGCCTCTATGGCCAACTCTCCACCAATCAGGGGAATGGAAGGTTGCATTGCATCGGGTAACAGCATGGATAACATGACGCTCGTGCCACGCCCCCTCTTTGCAGGGCGCGTGGTCAGCTGCAGCTCATTTGCCACAGAATCAGCCCCTTGTGAAGACAGGGGCTGGAATACAGCAAATTATAGAGCGAAATGAGGCATGGCCTAAATGCATGATCTGTTTATTTGGTATTTTTGGAAAACAAAAACTTTCACATACATGTTTTATAGTTAGGTATGGCCCTACAAATATATTATTAAATATAAGCATGATATGCGTCCAACTTTAAAAATGCTGTAAGCTAATGGTAATGGGACAAAACTGACACCATATGATAACAAACTTTGCTGAGGAGAGTGGCAGTCTTCTACTGTCAGGTTTACTGAAGTCGTGATAGTGAAATATGATCACTTTGACAATTTTAAAATGCCAGAACTGACTTCCTCCAAATTGAATCTTCCTTCCGCATCGGACAAAATTCCCCAATTCCATCATGGGGGATTTAAAAGCTGGTGCAATTTTAAACGTTTGCAGTCCGGAAATCTGCCAATAATGAGTTTATTCTGCCTACAGAGGTGCAACGTTATCCCGTGTCTTGGATAAAAACTGCTGCTTTGGCCTCCAAACACTCAGCTTCAACACATAAGTATATCTGAGACGACTGCAGCTCTCCCGGCGCATTCTTTTTCCATATTCGTCCATCCCTTCCGTCTCATCCATCAGAGAAGATTTCCATCTCTTCCCCAAACCCAATTAATTCACCTTAATTTAATCTCTCCCTTTCTCCCTGTAACCCATTCGTTCGCTTTTTGTTGTGTAAACCTCATTCATCCCTTTCTCTCTCTCCACTCTAAATGCCACTGCACCTCTATACCCTGAATATTTCATGACGAAAAACACAACATCGGCTTCGCTTTGCCCAACATACAGAATGACATCCAGTATGGAGGTGACTGATAGATAGCTTTAAGGCTTAATGATGGCTTTTAGCTTCTTTCGTTCTTTAAAAGCTCTTTGGCAGGATTACAAGATGACATTTCTTCCTCTGAGGCCAGAGGGACTTGTGGGTTCAAGGTTT